ATCACCGAGAGGGAAGTATATAGACGATGATTAGAATTACAAATCATTGTTTTTGATAGTGTAATGCTTAACTTTATTGTTTCCGTTGCCAGTGTCATTGTCATTATTACTATCACCATAATTACCATTATCATTATCACCATAATTATCATTATCATTAACATTACCATTACTGTATCACCATAATTATCATTACCATTATCATCATCATTATCATTACTAATATCATCATTTTTATCATTAGCACCTAAATTATCTTCACTTTTGTCATTATAAATGTTATCATAACTGCATTATTATAACGAATTAGTTTCACAGAACAATGAAAGTAAGATTAAACGTTGATTTTGTTATTTGATCGAATTCTTGTTCTTCCCGATTTCTTTTTTTTCCACTTATTCCTAACACTTCATTGTTTTGTGTTTTTTTCGTTTTTTTATGTATTAAGACCTAAAGATAAATAAATAAGATAAATAAAAAAACAGTCACTCGCACAGACAGACAAACACACAGGCAAACAGACACGCCCCTTTGCCCTTTGGCGCGAACGTAAATCCACAAATCCACAAATCCACAAATCCACAAATCCACGGTAATCCAGGTGAAATCCCTTTAATCCACGTCATTGAAGGGGGTCTCACGTCGAGTCCCTTTCGCGTGATAATTACCGGATTTGATGATTCAGTGCAGTGTCTGATTAATGGGGAAGATGATATTGATGATAATGATGATAATGCAAGTGATGATGATGAGCACAATCATGATGATGTTGATAGTTATATTAACAATATTAATGAAAATGATAATGATTTTAATGACGATGATGATAATAACGATAATGATAATAGTAATGATAATAATAATAGTGATAGTGATAATAATAACAACAATACCACAGATAATAATGAACTATCATTATCATTATTTTAGTAGTAGTAGTACTACCATTATCATTATGATAATGATGGTGATTAGAATTATGATGTCACTTCTACTACTACTACTACTACTGCAACTACTGCTAGTGACAATGATAATAATAATAATAATAATAATAATAATAATAATAATAATAATAATAATAATAATAATAATAATAATAATGTTACAGAAATAATAACAAAAATAACAATAGAAATATTAAAAATGATAACAATAGTATTGATAATAATAGTAATGATAATAGTAACAATAATAATAGCTATAATGATAATCACAACAGCAACAATAATAGTAACAATAATTAGAAGAATAACAATAACAATAATAACGATAATAAATAAAATAAATGATAATAATGATAATAATAATAATGATAATAATAGTAATGATAATAATAATAATGATAATAATAATAATATAATATAATAATGATAATAATAATAATGATAATATAATAATAATAATATAATAATAATAATGATAATAACAATGATAATGCTGATTATAGTAAAAATGATAACAATGATAATAAGTTTAACAAAGATAAAAGTCCTCAAAATGTTCATAATAATAATGGTGAGGATGATAATGCTTTTGATAAATGTGGTGATAATAATGATAATAATATTAATGATTATGAATAATGATAATAATATTAATAATGATAATAATATTAATGATTATGGTGATAATAATAATGTTGATGATAATGATAACAATGAAGATAATAATATATAATAATAATAATAATAATAATAATAATAAAAATAATAATAATAATAATAATAATAATAATAATAATAGTAATAATAATAATAATAATAATAATAAGGACTATAAGGTTAAATATGAAATGAAAATAATATTCATGATAATGGTGATGAAAATAATAATAATATAATATAACAATAACAGTAGTAAGGGTATTAATCTCAATTTGAATAATAATAACAACGATAACTGTGATAATGACAGTAATAATAAAAGTAATAATAATGCTTACAATGTTAACACAAACGGCAACAATAACGATGGTAATAGCAAGGGTGATGTGAATGATGATAATGATAATCATAACGATCATCATAATCACATCGTTAATAACAACAATAATAATAACGATGATGGCGATGAAAATAATATATGCTGATAAAAAGCAACAGTGAAGGTACAAATACCTATAGTAATATCACTTTCATAATCATTACTATAGCCATCATAAATAAAAAACAAAAAAAGAAAAAGAAAAAAGCGATTAGTTTCTTAAAATTGTTCGAGGCCCTAACCAATTAATATTCATATTTATACATATACACAGAATTAAATGTATGTCTATCTATCTATCTTATAAATATACATTGATCTATCTATCTATCCGGTTATATATGTCTTGACTAATATAAATGAATTTATTTCTGTATATATGCAAGTTCGCATAATAAATATTCATTGAGTCGGCCTCGAAAATTTTCCACGCACCCCGACGACCGCCCCTCCCAACCTCGCCCCGAAAAGCCCCCGATTCCTCCCTTCTCACGTGCGCCCATTTCCCCCCCAGGCGAAGGCGGGGAAGGGGAGCGCGCCCCCCGCAAGAAGAGGTGTCGCGCCGCCTTCAGCCACGCCCAAGTGTTCGAGCTGGAGCGCCGCTTCGCCCACCAGCGCTACCTCTCCGGGCCAGAGCGCGCGGACTTGGCCCAGGCGCTCAAGCTGACGGAACAGCAGGTGAGGCTTTCTTTTGGTTGTTTGTTTGTTTGTGTGTTAGGGTTCGTGGTTTTGATTTGTATCCTTTGCTTTGTTTTATCTTTATTTTTGGGGGGAGGGGGTGGAGTTTCCTATTCTTGAAGTGTGATTTCTTGTTTTTCTTCTTCTTCTTCTTCTTCTTCTTCTTCTTCTTCTTCTTCTTCTTCTTCTCTTCTTCTTCTAATGTTCCAATTTATTCTTTTTTTTTTTCTTTTTTATTCTTATCTTTTCTGTTTTCTGTTTTCTCGTCTCTGCCTTTTATTTTTGTTGATCTATGTACGTACGTATGATTTTTTTCTTTCTCATTTATTATCGGTAATTGAACATCAAAAATTAAAAACTAAAATTATAGCGATATGCAAGAAATACAGAATGCAAATAATATTATGCGAAATATCACTAAACACATTTTTTTTATTCGTTATCATTACCATTATTCATTAATTGTATTCTTAGTTTCTTGGTGTGTATGTTGAATAAAACATCATAGCACCCACATATAAAGACGATATACTATTAGAATTAAACGAAAATCCCTTAAAGAAATATATTAATGATACGTAGAAAGGAATAGGTCATTTTCCGCGTCAAATGGACGCTTTGCCATAACAACATATACTAATATATGGACCATGAAAGATATGTGTTCGCATAGTACACAACAGCAGCCTAAGAAAATCATATGAAAGAAAATGATTAGAGAAATAGAATAGATGAAGATAAAAATAACTAAATATACCAGATTAAGCACCTTCTTGTGTTTAAATCCCCCCTCCTCCCCTCCCTCCATCCTTCCCCCCTCCTCCACTATTATTTCTATTTCTGGAGAAGAACTCTTGCTATTTTTTTTTTTTTTTCTGAAATCAGGAATACCGCTTTACTCTCCTTTATATTCTTTATATTCCTCTCATCTGAATGTATTCCACGTAAGATCTCCTTCCGAGTTTAAATCACCTGTTTATGTTTTCACATTTCGATCATTATAACGTCGAGTATATCCTTCTTATTATGTTCCTTTCTGTTTTCTTTTTTCTGTGTTATTTTTTTTTCCTTTTCTTTTTTGTGTGTTTTCTTTTTCTTTATTTTTTCTGTGGTTTTATTTTTTTTTTCTTTTTTCTGTGTTTTTTCTTTTTCTTTTTTTCTGTGGTTTTTCTTTTTCTTTTTTTTTTTCTGTGGTTTTTCTTTTTCTTTTTTTCTTTTTTTCTTTTTCTTTTTTTTTTTCTGTGTTATTTTTATTTTATTTTTTATGTGGTTTTTCTTTTTCTTTTTTGTGGTTTTATTCTTCTTTTCTTTTTCTGTGTTTTTTATTTTTATTTTATTTTTTCCTTGGTCTTCTCTTGCCTTAGATGTCTAATAAAAGGTATAATGTCACTTTCGCATGTCGGAGATTAAGCGAGTCGGTCGGCGGCGAGAAGAGAGCTTAGCTTCTCCCGAATTTTTTTTCTTTGATATTCCATCATCTCTCTCTCTCTCTCTCTTTCTTTCTTTTCTTTCTCTCTTCTCTCTCTCTCTCTTCTCTTCTCTCTCTCTCTCTCTCTCTCTCTCTCTCTCTCTCTTCTCTCTCTCTCTCTCTCTCTCTCTCTCTCTCTCTCTCTCTCTCTCTCTCTCTCTTTCTCTTTCTCTTTCTCTTTCTCTCTCTCTTTCTCTCTCTTTCTCTTCTCTCTTTCTTTCTCTCTCTCTCTTTCTCTCTCTCTCTTCTCTTTCTCTTTCTTTCTCTCTCTCTCTCTCTCTCTCTCCTCTCTCTCTCTCTCTCTCTCTCTCTCTCTCTCTCTCTTATATATATATATATATATATATATTATATATATATATATATATATATATAATATATATATATATATATATATATATATATATATATATATTATATATATATATATATATATATATATATATATATATATATATACATATTATTCCGTCACTCCGATCACCTGTTTCATTTCACTCCTCAAAACCAGATCCCAAGCCATTCACAACTAACTCTTCCTCCCTCTCTCTCCCCTCTCTCCGCAGGTCAAAATCTGGTTCCAGAACCGCCGCTACAAGACCAAGAGGAAGCAGCTGTCAGCGTGTGAACCGCCGTCCTCTGGCCGCCGAGTCGCTGTCAAGGTGAGAACCAGAGGAGAGACATGAAGGGGTGATGTGTGCGTGTGTGTGTGTGTGTGTGTGTGTGTGTGTGTGTGTGTGTGTGTGTGTGTGTGTGTGTGTTGTGTGTGTGTGTGTGTGTGTGTGTGTGTTGTGTGTGTGTGTGTGTCATGTATGTATATATATATATATATATATATATATATATATATATATATATATATATATATATATATATTATATATATATATATATACACACATATGTGGTGTGTGTGCATACGTATATTTAGACATATAGATAGATAGACAGACGGGTAGATAGACAGGCAATCAGATAAGTATATTTGTGCATACAGTATGTCCATACATGGACACATCCCACTTCCCAGGCCCTCCCCCACCCCCTCCTCCATGCCATCCCCTCCCCCACCCTCCCCCTTCCCCCCCTCCCCCACCCCTCCCCCTCCCCCCCCTTCCCCCTCCCCGTGCCCCTCCCCCACCCTCCCCCACCCTCCCCCACCCTCCCCCTTCCCCGTGCCCCTCCCCCACCCTCCCCCTTCCCCGTGCCCCTCCCCCACCCTCCCCCTTCCGTGCCCTCCCCCACCCCCACCTTCCCCTGCCCCTCCCCCACCCTTCCCCTTCCCCGTGCCCTCCCCCACCCTCCCCCTTCCCTGCCCCTCCCCCACACCCCCCTGCTCCCCGCGTCCCTCGCCAGACCCACACCCCATGACGATCGCATGACCCTTTCGAAGACTCACTCAGGAAAAAAATCAGAGATCATGGTGCGGTTGCTGCGCTCACTGTCGCGCAACACCAACAGCTGTTTTGTAGGGAGGGCGGGGGTGGGGGTGAGTACCGCGTGTGTGCGTAATTGTGTGCTCCGCGCGTGTGTGTGTATGCATGGGTGCGTGTGTGCGGACCGTGTATTTTTTTCTTTTTTTTCTTTCGTTTTGATCATTTTAGTTCGTTTTTTTTTTCCTTTCTGGTTATGCCGTTTTTGTGGGAATTTAATTAGTTAATGTAGGAAATGTTTTTGACTGTGTATGGTCGTGTGAGCGCACCTTTTTTCATTCTAGCTAATCTTATTTCATTGAGAATATTGTGTCATTTGTGATCGATGTGATTTTTTTATATATAATCATCCCCTTCACTTAATTTCTCACCTTCACCTAATTTCGATATCGTTAAAACACCATAATATGAATATTGACTTTGTCATATCGTCATGATATATCAACAAGACATCATAATAGCAGAGGCACATCATTATAAAATCGCCATCAAGGCAGCACACTTTTCTAACATCATCACACCTTCATGACATCGCCTTCACATCACCACCCCCGCCTCCCCCTGGCGTCCCCCTCCACATCACCGTGCCATCCCCCCCCCCCCTCGTCTCCCTGACTGACCGGCGTCTTCCCCTCAGGTGCTGATGCGGGACGACCAGCTGCTCCTGGGCCCGGAGGAGGGCCTCCCGCGCCCCCCGCTGCTCCTGCCCTCCCTCAGCACCCTCAGCACCCTCAGCTCCCTCGGCTCCTTGGGCTCGCTGGGCTCCCTGGGCATCCCCCCTACTGCTACTACCCCTACCTGTGCCCCCCTCCCCACTCGGGCGGGGCGAATCCGGCGCTGTCGTCGCTCCCGCACCTCCCCCAGCTCTCCGCCCTCTCGCCGGCCTCCCTCTCCTCCCTCTCGTCGTCCCTCTCGTCCCTCACCTCCTCCCTCCTGCCGCCCCACGCCCACGCCCACAGCGCGGCCTCCTCGCCCACCCCCGCCCCCGTGTCCAGCAGCTCGGCGGTGGGCGGCGGGTCGTCGAGCGGCGGCGGCATGGTGGCCCGACCCGCCCCCCACACGCCCTCGCCCCCACGCCCGTGAGGTGCAGGGGGAGAGGAGGCTCGCACGCCCTTAGCTTCACGCCCATGAGGTGGGAGGACGTCCCCCACGCCCATGAGCTGAAGGAGGCGCCTGTGACCCTTCGCCCACGAGACTCAGCGCCGAGAACCGCCCTCACGCCGACCATGGAGGAACCACACTGCATGAGGACAGCTGCGGGAGGACTTTGGGATCAAAGGATTTCATTTCTCGGGAGACAGTGACTTTCCGTGAAAGACTTTTGTCGTGTACATATGTAAAAAGGAAAGGAAAAGAAAAGCAAATGTGAAAGATAAATAGCTATGTATAGAAACTTGTGAGAGAGAAAAAAAACTCATGATAATGAAAAATAAAATTGAGAGACGAATAAGGAGAAAAAAAACACTCAAAGTATTTCTCTTTATCGCGTATTCGTATTTTCCCGCACAGGACACGGAAGTCCTGTCGTAGAGAAATAAAAGCGGTTTCAGACACGACCTGTAGATGTCCTGTCTGATATCCGATGAACAAACTATGAACTCTTGCCGGTATGAGAGGACCAATAGCCAACCAGTCACCGTTCACTGTTCACTGTAAACTAGTCCTGAAAGCCCCACCTAGTAGTTGCCCACATAACTAGTCCACTGTACAAACACGTGGCTTTGTGTATAATTTTACGCAACCCTTTAAAAAGTATTGATATTAAAAAAAACAAAACCTTAAAAAAATCAATAAAAACAAGTATAGAGTATACCTGTCTTAGAGATATTGGATATGAATATATTTAACCACGAGAATTACTATATGACTTGTATAACTGTAAGAAATATACACGTTAAGAGTTCAGAGACAATATTTTCCTTCAGACCAAACAAGAAGAAGAAAGAGTTAGTTGAAAGTGAAAAGATGGAGAAAAAAAATAACAATCGTCTGGATAGACAAAGTAAGTGAACTTTCCTACCATAGAAAACTATTTTACCAAAGACTTAGTTCTTATGAGAAAAGAAAACTGTTCGTTACTCGGTGTCACATCCTACGAGCGAGTGAGCGTGTGATAGTGACAGAAGGAGAGAGAATGCACGAGACAAGAGACGCATTTTGTGAACACTGTGAACCGAGAACCATTTCAGTATCTGCATATTCGATCCAGGTCGTCCCAGTGAACCTCCCCCTCCCTCCCCTCTCCCTCCCCTCCCCCCCACAAAAAAGGAAAATACGAGAGGGAAAACTTTGTGTGTGAAGCTTTTTTAAAAAGTGAGACTATTTTGGAGACGAAAAAACGGGAAAAATCGGAATTCCTCAGAGGGGAAAAATAAATGTTATTTTGAAGAAAGACATCGCTGCCTTTGAAATCATTTTGAAAATTATGTGAGATTCTTCGGATATTCGAGGAATGTAGGGAGAGGAAGGGAGGAAATAAGAAAAAAGAAATAGAGGTGAAAGAATTAGAAATAAACAAATGAAGAGAGCAAATAAAAAAGAAGAGATGAAGGTGCAAAGACAGAAAGTTCACCACGTCTTTCTGTTAGTAATATGGTGCAATGGAGTCTCGAAGAAGCAATGTTGCATGGCCAGTCACATATCTTTGGATTATGTTACCACTTATCACTGTATGTTGTATAATATAACCCGATGTTGATGTTGATTACATGTATTATTTTTGATCCTCTATTCCCACATGCAAATTGTCTGTTTTGTCATTTTTTCTAATTTTCTTTTCTTCTTCATTTATCTATTGTATATCATCATGGATATTTCTTTGGACACATAACTCTTAAGGGGAAAGTAAGTGAAAGTGAAATATGGAAATAGTAAAAGTTAAAAGAATATGACACCAGGCGTCTCATAAAATATATACCAAATAAGCATCTGAAACTTCAATATCTAATTAGCTCATACAATAGAGCATACAATGGTAAGATAAACGGTACCCAACGGTATATAACAAATACTAACAAACACCAAACTAAACCCTATTAAATAGATACAGGCAAATGCTAAAAATGTCTGAGAGTGCCAAACACGTCCACAATAACAAACATGTAAACAATATATGCAACTATGGAGATCGGAGTGCACTGATTCCCATGGGTACGATTTGGTGACCAGCTTTGGCCAGTTCGTCTTGCTTCAGGTCAAAAACATTGTTGACGCAACTTTCTCAATGAATGCCACTGCACTGCTTCTCAGAAATATCCGAAAAAAAGAGACAAAGAAAACTATGAGAAATACAGGTACCTATTGTATATACACAGACACACACACCACGCACACACTATATATATATATATATATATATATATATATATATATATATATATATATATATATATATATATATATATTATATATACATAACCTTTCCGACAGGATTCGAACCCCCACCGCCGTTGTTACTCTATGATAACGACCCACTAAAAGGAGTGTGCAACTATGAGCTATCTAGCATCCATAGGCATTACCTAACTACTCATACATGAGTAATTATAGCAGTTTTACACATATACTCGGTTATATTAGAAAGAGCAGTTCAGATCCTAAATCAGGTAACTGAGGTGTATTCAATGAAAGATGGAATAATGCTATAATTCATATTATGAAAAAATACATACATATATTATATCTATATGTATATATATATATATATATATATATATATATATATATATATATATATATATATATATATATATATATATATATATATATATATATATATACATATATATATATATATATATATATATATATATATATATATATATATATATACTATATATATATATATATATATATATATATATATATATATATATGTATATATATATATATATATATATATATATATAGTATGTATGTTATATGTATGTATGTATATATATATATATATATAATATATGTAGTATGTCATGTATGCATGTACTATGTAAGGTATGTATGAGTAATTATAGCAGTTTTACAGACACTCCGTGGGCGCTCGGTATATTTAGAAAGAGCAGTTCAGATCCTAAATCATATAACCTGAGGTGTATTCAGTGAAAGATGGAATAATGCACTGACCGCATTGATATGATGAATATATACATATACATATATATGCATCCGATATAATACATACACACATATAATATATATATATATATATATATATATATATATATATATATATATAATATATATATATATATGGGTGTGTGTATGTATTTATGTATATATGTGTGTTTGTGTGATTCATATAAATAATGTATATCTATCATATATATATATATATATATATATATATATATATATATATATATATATATAATATATATATATATATATATATATATATATATATATATACATGTAAATGTATATGTATAATATATATTAAA